CAGCTCACCTCCTCCTGCTGCGGCTGGTTCGGTCTCTGGTTCTGGTTCTGGTTCTGGTTCTGGTTCTGGTTCTGCTGCTCCTTCGTGGCCGTCATGCTGAAAGTCCAGGAGGAACTTGGACCAATCCAGAACCGGGTCTCCTAAATCCGGCGGAGAACCGAACCCGGTTCGGCTGCAGAAGGAGCGATGAGTCCGTCACGACGGGAGGTGATCGGAACCGCGGAGCAGAACCGGAGCAGAACCTCCGGGAGAAAGGAGGAGAGTTTCTGACGCGCTGGTTCTGGAAGCGACGGAGAAGAAGATCTCACTTCATAGAGGAGGTGCTGCTGCTCTGAGAGGCTGCAGGAGGCAGCCTGACAGAGGAGGAGGGGAGGAGGAGGAGGAGGAGGAGGAGCAGGGGGGGGCTGCACAGGAGCGGGGAGGGGGGGAGCTCGGTGCTGGTTCGGTTCTCTGACTCTCGGTGTGACTAAGGCTCTAAAGCCTCTAAATAGAACATCAGCTGCCTAAAGTCTCCCAGTTAAAAAGAAACTGGAAGGTCTGACTTAAAATAATGAAACAGAAATAAAAATATATTTTATTTTTTACAATTAGAATAAAAACTTTATTATTCTAATTTAAAATCCACTAAAGGACAGGAACGCGTGGGAAAACTAGAAGCAATCTGAGACTCTAGAAATACCCATAGTAGTAACTACCAAGATAATAAGATAAAATAATATTAAGTGAGAGAAATGAATCTGACGTGACGTCACTCAGTCCTGCAGAGCGCGGTCCAATCAGCTCATCCATCAGTAAATAATGCTGCTTCCGGTTCTGTAGAGCTGGTGCTAAACTCCAACTCTAGAGGAAACCTGTTAGTCTGAAACCAACAGCAGCAATCTCCATCAGCAACACAACCGGGTGAAAACACACAATTCCTCCAGCAGCACCAGGATCCAGGATCCAGGGTCCAGATCCTGGTGCTGCAGGCAGCAGGACTCCCAACGCTCATTGGACAGATAATCTACGGAACCCCGAATGGACCAGAATCTCATTAGCCTAGATAGGCTCACCTGGTGCCCATCTAGGCTAATGAGCCTTTCAATGAAGGCGGAGAAACAGGACATTGATGCATTCAAGGGCCCCAAACGGGTGGGAATTTACACAGAGTTAAAACAGGTGGAAACGCAGAGACCGGATCCGGTCCATTTAGAACCAGAACCAGAACCAGTGGAGGCAACTGGAGCTCCTCCTCCTCCTCCTCAGGATCCAAACACCAGAACCAGCAGCTGCTGCTTGAATTTAGAACAGAACCGAGATAAAGGATAACAGATCTAATCTACCTAGTTCTATTATTCCCATTACTCCCCCAGAGGCTCCTCCCTCCCAGTAACCTCCCCATTACTCCCCCAGAGGCTCCTCCCTCCCA